ACACACACACACACACACACACACACACACACACACACACACACACACACACACACACACACACACACACCTGCACTGAAATGGGACGGGACAGAAGCGGAAGTTGGTTCTTAAAGTGACAGAGGCCAATTTCAAGGTATTTAGAAGAGGAAGTGATGATAAGATAAGTTTATTTTCTATTTAAACATAAAAACAGCATTTTAATAACAGCTAAAGGTGACAGATACTTTATTATGGTATAGTATTTAAATGTATGCCTGAGAAACACATAATATTGCCCCTTTAAAATTTTCCAAAATAGTTGAGTCTCTTTATACTTTCATGAAAGCTTTCCTAACTGCTCTGAACTACATAAAACACACCTCTCAATTTGTGTTTTGGGACGCAAACCCAAAAAAAACCAAAAAAAAAAAACAGGCTGAACCCAAAAAGAATAAACACACCATGTTCATCTTTCTTTTTTCCATCGTTCTCTCTCTGCAGGGTTCTATTCAGCAGCTGATCATAAAGGATGATCCTAGAGCAGCTGAGGAGCAATGTGAAGAAGACGATCCCTATGTGAGACACAAACACAGTTTCTTTTTTGTTTCTATACTTAAATAGAACAGGTTACAACTGATTCAGTCCAATCTAAGAGTATGACTTTTTAATGCTTGAGTAGTTTACAAATCCCACCTAACTTTCATGGCAGTCGTGTATTTTCCGCCAAACATGAGTGAATTGTTGATACAGGCCTCGGGATATGCGAGTGGAGATGATGTTCTGGATGATAGAGAGACAGAAGAAGTGTCAATGAAGAGGGGCGAGGAGAGAAAGTTGATGGTAGGTTGTTGGGTGGTGGAAAGTCTATGTGTGTGTGTTATCTTCAGTCCTCCATCCTAGAAGTCAGTCTGACCCCAARCACAGTCTGCTTTGATAGCTTCAAAGGAAATTGTCCACGAGAAGGAGGAGAGTTTGTTACCACATCTGAAAGGCATTTTGGAGACTTTGATTTCTTGTTCTGTGATGTTCAGATTTAAAACTGATCCTAAATTTTGAACTCTTAAAGCAGATATTTCATTCAAATCTTAATCCTAATGCCATACAAGGATCTAAACGCATTTTTATTAGCAAGAATCTTTTTGATTTTATCGACCAACATGTTTTTATGTCCTTCTTTTCCATTTCCCTAAGGGAGAGGACAGCATTCCTGTCAGAGCTCCACCCACTGAGGCTCCAGAGGCGGAGCTTGAATATTCAGGTCACATGACTCCAACGACAGCCAATGAAAAACATCTTTTAACAGGTCAGCGCAAAACCTAAATATACAACGTTAGCTTATTTCAAATGAAGGGAAAAAATAATTTAATAAACCTCCAGAGTTTGAATTGTTTTTGAACTGACTGATCCTGATCATGTCACATTTTGTACGCAGATTCACAGCCGATAGAGGAGGCAGGAGAGCCACCAGGCCACGTGAGTTCAGATCTGGACTTTTGTAAAAGACACAGGATGTGTTGATCTGTAAATAAAACCTACAGGCTGAATCAGATTTCTTTTGAACTTTAAAAAGATGTTTCGTTCCGACTCATGCTTCCAACAGACGTTCATGAGTTACCGATTTTTTTTTTGTAATTTTTTTTTTTTGCAGGGTCGTGTCAAGCCTGGGTTAAAAGGGGAGCGTGGTGATCCTGGACCACCTGGTCCACCTGGTCCTCCAGGGCCTAGCTATGTACTTAAAGAGAAGCTCGGACAACCCGGGCCACAAGGACCAACGGGAACACCTGGACAACCTGGAAGAGATGGACAGAAGGTTTGTGAGCAAAAATCTGAATTAAAAATCAGTTTTCCAATAAAAACGATGCAGATGTTTTCGGTCGTTCTCTTTGAATCTTGAATTGTTTTCCTTCACAGGGAAGCAAGGGTGACAAGGGTGATCTAGTAAGTAGTTATATTTTCTTACATTTTAGGTTATATTGCTGCACTTTAAACACCATACTCTAAGTTATTTGTTTTTTTTAACCATCAGGGTCAGAAAGGACATCAGGGATTTCCAGGTTTGAATGGAGAAGTCGGAGCCAAAGGACAGAAGGTGCTTCTGAACACTAATCCCGGATTGGAGAAAACTTTGCATGTTTGTCTTTTTGAGGCCATGAGTGCTGCGTTGTCATTAATGACTGATTAAAAACAGGAATATTTAAAACTCTAATTTATAGAGTAAAACCAAAAAAATTACGAGTTGGTTAAACCACCTAAAGGAGTCAAACATTGAATTGAACTGAAACACAGATACAGACTGGTACCTGCAGCTACTTAATTTAAAATAKTATCTTCAACTCATTTGACAGTAAGTACCAGCTTTTGTTACTTGAATTTGTCTTTGTAAATAGTTGCTGGTATTTTTTTTAAATGAGTACTCTGAAAAAACGTTTTGACACCACGTAAATTATTATTATTATTATTATTATTATTATTATTGGAGCTACATTATCACAGAGCTGCTTCTACCTCCCCTAACCTACGTTCCTTCATGTATTTTGGTTTTTAATAATAGGACTCAAGTACAGAGGAAAAAAAAGTTTTCATTTTGTGCTCTGTCTCATGTCGCCCCCCTCTACAGGGAGACCTGGGAGTTGGTTTACCAGGTCCCCCTGGCCTTCCAGGACCCCCTGGACCGCCACGATCCCGCAGTGTTCCTGTGAGCAACAAAATGTCAAATATTCAAAATCATTGTAAAATCAATGTCGGAAATAGTTTGCGAGAAATTTTTTTTTCAATTGAGTGAAAAAGACACATCTCCTGACATGTTTCAGTATGGACCAGACGCCCTGGGTTCTGGGTTTGATGATCTGGACAGTGATACTGAACCTGTTAGGGTAAAAACCAGCTCTGATACAATCTGACATTATGTAATTATACACGGGGAGAAAAAAAAGAACATTCTCTTGYCCTTAGGGCCCTCCTGGTCCACCGGGGCCTCCAGGGCCTCCCGGGCCCCCTGGACACCTGTCTTCAGAGCTGAGGCCAGATTATGCTGGACCACATGGTACACCTGGCAGAGACGGACCTCTAGGCAAACAAGGGATACCTGTAAGTTAACTCTCAGTTTAATCTAAATAAATGTTTATTTAAAATGTACAGATTGGTAAGTTTRTACTTGCAATTAGACAGCTTTTGTGCTTAAAAAAACTAATAAATATTTCACTTCCATTAAATATTTCATGTTCCCCAAGAAATGTTTAATTCTGAAAGTTAAACTAAATGTTTGGTTTTGTTCAGTGTTACTGTATGTTGTTATAATATGACTTAGAATTAGCATTAGAATAAGTTTCTTATTTAATCTTTACAGTCTTTTTATGTTTTAGACTCAGTCCAGTCTGTGTTAGGTTATTACAATGTTATTTCTATCTGCATGTGTACCTGTTAAGTGACAAGCCTCACACACCTTGTGTGAACTTTGTATTGACTTCCATTCATGTTTTAGTCATTTCTACAGCCTAACCCTGACCATTTACCCTAAACGTAACCACCCCAGTACATGACCCTAATCTAGCCTATCAATTCAGACCAGGCTTTGGTCCCCATGAGGAGCAGTGGGTCCCCACAAGGCTGTGTTTTTCTGTAAAATGGTGCCCACGATTCAAAAACTTGTCCCCGCACACGCTTCCATATTATCATCCATTATTCTGCCTTCGCCTCCACCCATCCTTCATCTACTGCTGCTTCATTCACCCACGTTCTTCAACTGTTGTCTGCCTTTTCTGTTCTGTTGCAGATGTTTGAGGATTTGTTTAGTGGTTCTGGGTCTGCCGGGTCAGGTTTGAGCTCAGAGTCAACATTACTCCTCAGCGCAAAGCTCGACTCCAGTATCAGTTCTCGCTTCAGTACTCATCCCAGTTTGGGTTCTGGTTCTGGGCTTGAGTCTGCTGGGGGTTCAGGCGAGGTATAGTGTTTTGGTTTGTGACACAAACCAGAAAATAAAAAGACTATTACAGTCTAATGTCTGAGTACTGAGGCAGTTTTTGCTTGTTAATTTTAATGTGAAGGCAAGTTTGCAAGACGTTTGCTAAAAGATGAATGTAAACTAGTGAACGCAGAGTTCTGAACGAGTTCAAAGCTAAAAGCTAAAACTAGCAAAACAATAGCTACCATAAATTCTGAAAGTAAAAAAGGGTGGCTAAATTTAGCAGATTAGCTTTTAGCTTAAGTCAGCAGTAGTGGAAATAGCATAAGCAGTAGTTATAGCTTTAGGAGCACCAGTAGTGTTAGCAGTAGTATGCTAATGTGGATTTCAAGAGAACAATTTTTGTGAAGGATCTGTATAGATCTCAATGTATTTTTAAATAACATTATTTTGTAAAAAAAAAAAAAAAAAAGGTTTAATATTTTGAATAGTAGAATTTTTTTCAAAAAACCAAAAGTCAAAGCTTCCATTTCTTGAATAAGCAGAATATTTCATAACTACAAAAACTGCACAAAGTATGCAAAGTAGTTAGATGCCAAACAGTCTGTGAAAAAAAACTGTATTGCGAATGCTGAATCAGCATTTACACAATAAGTTCAGATTTTATCTGAAAAGAGAATTTAGTGATAAAAAAAAATCAAGTCTGCTTCAATGCTCAGGCGATTATGACTGTAAATCATCTCTTGTCAGATCGTATTTATACTTTTCTCTGGCAGCAATCTATTTATTTTTACTTGCTGACTATCTGCATGTGTCTGTGTCTCAGGTATCTTTTTTTTCCTCTTCATTTGCTGTTATAAAGAAAACGTCATTTGGAGCAATTTGTTTATTTGCTTTCATTTCAAAGTTGCCGTGAAATTAAACATCCTAGAAGGAAGTTTAATTTTATTTGGCAAAAATAAGTGGCTGATTATACACGCATGACACTGCTTATGGTTTAAACGTGATAAAAGTACAACTTTGTTTTCACTGGTTATTTTATTTTTCTCACTTATAAGAATATACTGTGAGCTATAATGAGAGTAGGGTGCAGGTGGAAGAGAGTTCGAAGAAGTGGATATACAGCGGGTAAAATAAGTATTGAACACGTCACCATTTTTCTCAGTAAATATATTACTAGAGGTGCTAATGACATGAAATTTTCACCAGATGTTGGTAACAACCCAAGTGATCCATACATACAAAGAAATCAAACCATAAATGTCCAGAAATGAAGTTATTTGTAATAATGTGGAATGGCACAGGGAAAAAGTATTGAACACATGAAGAAAGGGAGGTGTAAAAAGGCATGGAAAGAGAAGACACCAGCTAAACTCTCTCAGTAATTAGAAAGCAAGCCTGCCCCTTGTCAGTGCAAGTTAATATCAGCTGGTTCAGTCCCAAATGATGGCCAGGTATCACACAAGAACCATCTGATGATGGGTAAAAGTAAAGAGCTCTCTCAAGACCTTCACAACCTTATTGTTGCAAAGCATAATGATGGCATCGGTTACAGAAGAATGTCTAAACTTCTGAAGGTTCCAGTGAGCACTGTTGGGGCCATAATTCAGAAGTGGAAAGAACGTTATTTCACCATAAACCGACCACGACCAGGTGCTCCTCACAAGATTTCTGACAGAGGAGTGAAAGGAATTATCAGAAGAGTTGTCCAAGAGCCAAGGACCACTTGTGGAGAGCTTCAGAAAGACCTGGAATTAGCAGGTACGWTTGTTTCAAAGAAAACAATAAGTAATGCACTGAACCACCATGGCCTGTATGCACGCTCACCACGCAAGACTCCACTGCTGAAGAAACAGCATGTTGAAGCTCCTTTAAAGTTTGCTGCACAACATTTAGACAAGCCTGTGAAATACTGGGAGAATATAGTCTGGTCAGATGAGACCAACATTGAACTGTTTGGATGCCAGAATACACATCATGTTTGGAGGTCAAATGGCACTGCACATCAGCCCAAAAACACCATACCAACAGTGAAGTTTGGAGGTGGGAACATCATGGTGTGGGGCTGTTTTTCAGCATATGGTACTGGCAAACTTCAAATAATTGAAGGAAGGATGAATGAAAAATATACAGAGACATTCTTGATAAAAATCTGCTTCCATCTACCAGGATGATGAAGATGAAACGTGGCTGGACATTTCAGCAAGACAATGAGCCCAAACACAAAGCCAAGGAAACTCTCAGTTGGTTTCAGAGAAAGAAACTAAAGCTGCTGGAATGGCCCAGCCAATCACCTGACCTGAATCCAACAGAAAATCTATGGAAAGAACTAAAGATCAGAGTTCATAGAAGAGGYCCACGAAACCTTCAAGATTTGAAGACTGTTTGTGGAAGAATGGGCCAAAATCACACCTGAGCAATGCATGCCACTAGTTTCTCCATACAGGAGGCGTCTTGAAGCTGTCATTGACAACAAAGGCTTTTGTACAAAGTATTAGATAAATTTCAGTAAGTCTGTTCAATACTTTTTCCCTGTGCCATTCCACATTATTACAAATAACTTCATTTCTGGACATTTATGGTTTGATTCCTTTGTGTGAATGGATCACTTGGGTTGTTACCAACATCTGGTGAAAATTTCATGTCATTAGCACCTCTAGTAATATATTTACTGAGAAAAATGGTGACATGTTCAATACTTATTTTACCCGCTGTATGTTTTGTGATAAAGAAGAAGGAGATACATACAGTACATGTGGGAATGAGAGGGAGATGAGTGAACAATAAAGCTGCAAAGATCAGAAGTAATGAAGGTTTGTGAGTTTAAGCATCTGGTGTTAACCATGCAATGCAAAAAACAGACCATAAGAGAGGTGAAGAATAAAGTAAAAGCAGGGTGGAAGGGATGGAGGGTGATTTGTGACAAAAGGATAGCTGCAACTGTGAAAAACAGTTCAGGATATTTTCAATGTGAGTGATCAAATTGGACAGATGTAGCGATGAATACTTCTAATGGACGAGTCATGTTGAGCATTTTAGAGACAAAATGTTGGAGGCTGAGATGGTCTGACCTTGTGCAGAGGATAGATGGTCGGTCTTTTTGACTAAGTATGTATTTGATAAAATTAGAAATACAAGGAAGAGTTTGGAGTCTGCAGTTTCCAGTGGGTGACAGTTTTAAAATCAAAAGGAACTGTCACAAACTGTCACATATAAGATAATGCCATGTGAAAGTCTGAGATCAGTGGTGAAAGTGACAGAAACATTGATGTCCTTTAATCTTGAATGGCCTATTTAAAGGAATACATTCCGTTTTTCATTATTTTCAGCTTTGCTGGTAAACAATGAGAAACAGGTTTGTCAGAAAATCATCCTTGCCACTCTGGCTGCTCACGTTGCTGCTTTATGTTACATTTAGCTGAATGACAAAAAGCATGGATGATATTCCTGTTTGAAGAAACTGACTAGTGGGTCAGTTTCCAACATGTTCATTCCTTTAAAGTCTCAGTCTTCTTTGGACTTGGAGTTGGTCCCTGTTGGAATGGCTGAGGGATCAACACAGAGCTCTGTTAGCACTTTAGCACACCCAAAGTTATTTTCACTGACTTATCACTGCATTCAGTATGTTTCTGTCTTTGTCCAGGGTGCTTCAGGASCTGATGGTACTTCAGGTCCACCTGGACCTGTTGGAGAGAAGGTCTGATCAGGTTTACAGATTACGTTGGTTCAGTTAAGCAAGTTTTAATCATCATCTGAGTGAGATCAATGATTAAACATAGCTGTAGATACTGCAACCTATCATTAATGTGTTTTTAATCATTTGTTTGTTTGGTTTCTATTAATGCTAATAGGAAAGAAATGTCAGACTGTGCCCTTAAAAAAAGGGTTGCTCATTATTTTTTCTATCATCAGGGTGAACGAGGGCTACCTGGGCCATCTGGACCCAAGGTAATCCACAGACAAAAGCAAACTGGACAGCCATAAGTCATGTTTTGATAAAATAAACACAATGGTAGTTTTATGATCAAATAGGAGTTATGTTAAAAGGAATATAGGGTCTTATTTGCTTTTATTTCTTCAGGGTGAACGTGGATCTGTGGGTGCTCCAGGATCTCCCGGGCTCCAAGGGCCTATTGGTCCCCAAGGAAAGAGGGGCCAAGCAGGTCCACCAGGGCCTCCTGGCCCACCTGGACCACCTGGAACTAAATTCTTTGTGGAGGTGACACCTGTTTATGTATTACAAAAACAATGATCACACACATCCCCTGTTCTTTAAATCATTATGCTGGGATGTTGACTTCACCACATTAGTTTTTGAATTCAAAATATGTCAGACGATATGTATTTATTTTTTAAGGACATGGAGGGATCTGGAAAGAATGACATGCTGATTGAAGCTGGTGTCCAAGGACCTCAGGTTTGTAAATGTGTTTATATGCTCTGTTTTATGGAGGATCAAAACTGACATAATTAAAAATAAAAGCAGAAATATATAAATAAATAAATGCACTTAAAATGTGCCAATTAATTTTAAAATGGAGAACTTTCCCTTGTGTTTTTTTTTTCATTTAATTAACCTTCATTTTTATTTTTCCAGCTTAGTTCTAACAAAGTATATATTGAAGCAGATGATTAAAATTTTATTGGTTTTGAAAATATATAATTTTTGTTTTTCCTTTTACTTGTAGATGCATTTGTGTCTCAAAAATGTTTTTATTTAATGTTTTAATAGTTTTTTCCCCACAAGTCTTTATTTCCATGTGTTGTTTTTACATTTTTAGGTCTCCTGTTTTAACTTTACCTTATGCCTTTTTGCCTCATTGTGCAAATGAGGTGGGCGGTCCTTCTTGGATCAGCCCCTCTCCTATTGGTCAATAGACAGGAAGGAACAGGATCCATGGGCAGATCAATTGTGCATGCTTGTGCTGCTTCATTTTAGCTTAAAGTTTAGTTAAAGCACTTACATTCTCCTTTTTTTAAATTAACTGTTGCAATTTAAGTGTACTTTTTAAATTATGTCAGTTTCTGTCCTCCAYACTGTTTGAGTTATTTTAAGTTAAAATAAATGCTTTTGTTTTGTTTTCTTCAGGGTTCCCCTGGGCTACCTGGACCACCGGTAATCAGTTTATGGAAATTCATCTTTGTGCATATTCTAATTGAACTGTTATAATTACCAGCTCATAACATTTTGTTTCTGTTGAAGTGATGAGCTCTTTAGTTTTTTAATTAGTTTTTTTTTTTCATTGACTTGTGTTGTGTTCTGATTCGAACTTTAGGGTGAGGATGGAACTCCAGGACCTCCAGGGCTCCCTGTCAAGGTGACATCATTGTAATGAGGCACTGGCAATATTTCTGTGTTCAGCACAAGCTTTATTTTATTTCAATTAATATCTGATTATTTTTTTCACTCACCATGAGTTGAATGTAACTGAAATTTATCCTTTTAAATTTTAGCACTCTTTAAAAATACAATGTGCTGCCTGCCTGAAGCAAAGGTTAGAGTGAAAGTCAGCATTTCTGTGCATTATTGCAGGGTGAACCAGGAGCACCAGGACCAGAAGGTCTTCCAGGCCCTGCTGGACTACCAGGTGTCCGTGTAAGCTTCAACATTTCAACTTTATATTTGATATAGTGTTAATTAAAATTCACTAAATGTTCTGAACATCTGTGTAAATATCAAGAGTGACTTATTTCACATAAAAATACAGTCTAGTTGTTTCCCTGTTGTTTTGATTGGAGCAGTTTAATTTGACATTTAGGTGTTTATTCATTAATTCTACAGTGAATTATAATTGGAATGTTTGTAACTGTTTTGTAATTCATCCACATCTGGGTAATGCTCTGCTACTCTGACATTTTAGAAACTTTGTTTAAAATTAAAATTGGCTGAGTTGTTGCTGACAAGATATCACTCATCTACTCCTGGCTAAAAAAAAAAAAAGCTAAATAAACTTTCTGATTAATATAATATCATTCTTTTCTGCAAACAGGGACCCAAGGGGGAGAAGGGCAGTCCAGGACCAAAGGTAGAGCTGCCTAACAAAATAATATTTGTTCAGAATTTACCGTTTGTTCCTCCTCCTTAATGTCTGAAGTGAAATTATTGGTTGTGTCACACACTTTTGTAGTTAATTTAATGTCTTCTAAGTATTGTCTCTGTTTACTTCATGTTTCGTACTTCAGGGGGATCGAGGCACTGATGGACTAAATATTACAGGACCACCTGGGCCTCCTGGACCGCCTGGACCTTCTGTAAATTTACAGGATGTAGGCATACACACACTCTCTCTTTCTTACACACACACMCACAATATGCACAGGATTACTTATGGCTAAGTTAGAGAAAATAAATGTAGTTTGACACTGTTTAATGTCATAATTTTTTAAGTACTACTGTGCTATGCTTTAAACCAGGGGTGCACAAACATATTCTGTCCTAGGTCTGCAGGCCAAATACAACAATATAATACATAAAAGGCAAATGCTTTTTAAATAAAGTCCTTTATTTTTTTGTGATTATGATAGCAGCGAGTGTGGCGGCCCATGATTTTTTTTTTGTTTGTTTGTTTGTTTTCAGCATGTACACTTGAAGAAAATTTTGTGGTCTTATAAAATGTGAAAATCTCCATGTGTGCTTAAATCTAGTCTTAACATATCTTGTAGTTACTTGTATTTCATGTTTAATCTCAATATAATTCAATGATAAAGTAAACATCATGAGTATTTACTGTATACAGTCATTGGGCCAATGACAGTAAGGATGACAACAGATTACAACCTAGTAACCAGGACAACTGCTGGCGGGCCACATCAAATAGCTTGGTGGGCAAATTTTGGCCACACATCCCCTACTTTGGTTACATCTCTTTTAAACTCTTAATAAAAACATTTATTTATTTATTTATTTATTTGATTGGTTGGTTAATGTCTTGTCAAAAATGTTGCAATAAAAAGTTTTTATTTTCTTATTTAGTTGATTAGACTATCTTTTAGTGAGTGAGCATCACTCTTTTAATTAGTTATTTTGTAGTGATACCAATAAACATCAAGAAATGAGTACTAAGTTGAGTCAATTAAAACTAAAACAAATGTTGGCTGTTCAGTCCTTAAGGAACCACAGTTGTGTTATCAGTGGAGTCAGTTGTCAAAAGTGTCTATTTTTCTGTCAACAAACTATAGTTATAGTTATAAACTAACTTGGACTCACACTCCTCATTTTCTGTTTTATCTGCAGCTGCTCCTGAATGTGACTGAAGGTTTCTTCAACCTCACCGAGATCAGAGGACCCCCGGGGCCTATAGTGTGTATTGTGATTCATTTCCCATCCAAGTCATCTTAACTTTGGCATTTTTTCTCCTCCTGCATACTTTGTCCTAGAGCTGCYATTGTAATTTATATCTGTAAAGCCCCTGTGCCAAATGATGGCTATGCCTTTTGGTGCCTGTAAAACTTATATTTTTTAAATATTTATGTTTAATAAATTATAATGGCAGTCAATGGAGCCTTGTATTGGTCCAATACTGCCCCCTGCTGCCTCTGCACAATATGGTACTGCACCATAGTTTCATAATATTTAAACTCAGTAGTTCAGTGATTACAATATTAATATGATTGTATTTTGATGTTTTACTGTAATACTGTCTTAATGTTGTCCTATTGTTGTAATATGTTGCAGTTTAGTTTCAAAGATTGCATTGGCAATGTGGCCTCTTTCTACACACATACAAACCAGCTCCTGGCAATCCCATCTACCACAGCTCCATTGGTCTAATGGTTAATGCCATGGGCCTTCATGTGGGAGATCAGGGTTCAAACCCCAGCTACAGCAACTTTAACAAAAAATCTCTACACACATCATATTGTTACACARTTATGCTCATTACAAACACCTGCTGACTTGACAAGCACAAGCTGGTAGAAAACACATTTGAAYTTGATCACAGTTCATTCTGCAAGTGCACTGCTGCAGGCAAAGGCATGCTACATGGCAATGCACACTTGTTTTTACATTGTAAAAACCCATGTCTAGTTAGCATTTAGCTGCTAGTGCAAAGTCACCATGACCTTTGATGGCTTCTGTTCATGTTTTTTTGTTAACATTTTTGGCTAGTGTTCATTCAGATTATTTTACTTTTGGAGCTGCTGTTTAATTTAACAGTGCATGTCATATATGACTTTGCCCAATAAACCTAAAAATAGTTATAATGATATGTTATGATAACCTTTTACTATCCATGTGCTTGTGTATTGCAGGGCCCTGAAGGTTTACCTGGCAAAGCTGGATTTCCTGTAATAATTTTCTCTACTTCATGTTGAGCATGTCTGCTACCAGTTTGAATTTACATGTTTATATCTGATTTACAATTTAAGAAATGCAAGTCACTGTACAACTACTTTATTGGCATTAGCTGTCCAAAATGTATAATTTGATCAGAGTTTTTTTTTAAAGGGACCTAGAGGGCCAAAGGGAGACAGAGGACCATCAGGTGCTCTGGGGCCAGCAGGGTCCAAGGTGATGCTGCAGATTGTGCTTGGAAGAAAATTTGTCCCATCCTAACTATAACTAATATTGTACATTAGTAAGGTATTTACATGTGCTTTTGTTGTTTATTTGCTCTGACAGGGACAAAAAGGAGAACCAGGGGTGACCATTGCTGCTGATGGATCTATTTTGTCTGCACCAAGAGGCCCTCAGGGGACTAAAGGCAAAAAAGTAACAGAACACTGACATTTTACTGTCACTTGGATTCAGTTTCAAGCACTAATGATGTTTGTATGTATGTAGCTCTAAAATCTTGGAGAAAGACCATAAAGAACTAACTAGCCTGCCAGAAACATCCCTTCTAGAAAAAAAAATTCACATGAATTGACCTGTTTTGTTAAAAATGTTCCAAAATCACATTAATCATATATCTGCCTGTCTATCTGTTAGCAAAACAAACCACTGCTTTTAACTAAACTCTCAAACTAACTAATGGATGTACAGTACATCTACAACTGATTAGCTTTTAGAGTCAACTCGATTCAAGATGGCAGTGACTGGTGATTGACTTTAGCGAACACAAAACTGCTATAACCCCATCAGTTCTGCAAATATTTAGCTAAAATTTGGTGTGATAGTAGCTGAGAGTCATCTCAAACATATCATCTGAGCACTAACTGATTCGTTAATTTCCTTAAAACTTTGGCATGGAAGGTCATACACATTTCTTCAAGAAATGTTTGTGAAAATATGTGACGTATTGCTTTGTATTTTGTACAGGGAGACCGGGGCTTCCCAGGACCTTCTGGACCTATGGTGAGTTCATACTAGTGAAAAAGTGTTGAATTCACCTCAGTGATGCTGATGACCTCAGAGCTGTTACTGTTACAGTTACTGTCTGTCTGGTTGTTTGTTTCAGGGACCAATTGGACCTCCTGGTCAAAAGGGAGAGTACGGCTTCCCTGGGCGTCCAGTGAGTATTTTCACCTGTTCAAGCATACAAACTGACCAATATTATGTAATGTCAAAAGTAACTTTGCACTGAAACTGTCRTTGCAAATAATGTCTCAATTGTTGAAAGCCAACAAATGCAGTAATTACTGGTTTTGTCATTTTTCTTTCTGCAGGGGCGACCTGGTATAACAGGGAGAAAAGGTGACAGAGGAGAGTCTGTTGGCCTGCCGGTAAACACAAACAGTTCAATTCCACTTCTTTAAGCACTGATTTTAAGAAAAAGCCCTCTAATTACTATAAATAACAGTTTAAATTACACATAAAGTCAAAATTTTCTTCACTTAGACAACTTTTTGTGATGCAAATTACCACCATTTTTCAGTTTGTAGTATGAATCATTAGRTACACACTATGTGTACTGTGTATTTTTTCATGAATTTGCATTTACATTTTATGAAAGGATGAGTACTAACTTCTAATAAATTGAAAGTTGTTCTTTGTAAACCCAAGCTTTGTGAAAATGGTTGAACAAAAATCATGAGACTGCAGGACTTTTTGTGTACAAGACAAATTCAATTCATTTCATTCAACTTAAATATTTCAGATCCCGCCCCTCCCCTGTGACTTCAGGTGTGCCCCAGGGCTCTGTCCTGGGCCCACTTCTTTTCATCGTCTTCTCCCCCATGGCAATATCTTCCAYAAATTTAACATCCACTTTCATTGCTTTGCCGACAACACCCAGCTCTTCTTATCCACTGCACCCAATTCTTCACTCCCTCCTTCCTCCCTCACTTCCTGTTTAGCTGAAATAAWWTCTTGGTTCACATCTAACTTCCTTAAATTAAACAATGATAAWACAGAGTTTCTTCTCATTGGCACCAAATCCATCTTATCTAAAGTTAGTTTCTTCCTCACCATTGACAGCTCCTTGGTTTCTCCCTCCCCTCGGGTCAAGAGTCTGGGTGTCATTCTTGACAGCACTCTCTCTTTTCACTCTTACATCAATAAGATTACCAAGTCTGCATATTTCCACCTCAGAAACATCCATCGACTCCGTCCATCCCTCTCCCCGCACTCTGCTTCCATCCTGGTCTATAGTCTGGTCATTTCTCGAATCGATTACTGTAAKTCTCTCCTCTTTTGTCTGMCTAACAAATCACTCCGTAAACTTCAAATGGTTCAAAATTCAGCTGCCCGCATCATCACCAAAACAACCTCATTTCACCACATCACCCCAGTTTTACAACAACTTCWCTGGCTTCCAGTCACATTCAGAATTCAATTTAAAATCCTGCTGTTCACATTCAAGGCCATCCACAASCTCGCCCCTCCCTATCTGTCTGATCTCTTACACATCACTACCCWTTCATGCTCCCACCATTCTTCCTCTTCCATCYATCTCAACGTGCCTCTTGTCCGCCTCAGCACCATGGGAAACAGAGCCTTCTCTCACTCTGCTCCCCAACTCTGGAACGCTCTTCCCCCTGACATCCATAGTATTGACTCTCTTCTTACTTTCAAATCACAACTCAAACTCATCTGTTCAACTCAATTCAGTTCAATTCTATTCAATTTATTGTCATTATACGGAAACAGGGTTGTACAGTGCAATGAAATGCTTTTAAGCTAGAACTCCAGTGCAGTAACAAAGGACATAGTGCAGACAAGACAAGACATAACGTACATAAACATTAGACACAAACATTAAATACACAAT